ATTCATTCCGTTTCACGTACAGGATTGCTCATTTCTAATGCGCGTTTCATGTACTCCCAGAACATTCCACTCGTCCTCCACACATCATAGAGCCCGTTCCGGGTCATTTGAGCATGATAACTTTGTACCGAAATTTAAAATTCAACGAAGAGAACACCTTGACGGTCCTCGGTGATTGTTTGATATGCCTTCTCTACTTTGCTTTGCTTCTCATTTGAGGCCGTTGTTTAAGGTCAATCTGTTCGCTCCCGCCTCGCCTCACTGGTGTTTGGAATACTTGATTCGTGTTGGCATTTCCGATAGTGAATAATTCGTTTCTGTGTGTGTGTGTATTTGCGCTTACGAAACCGCGGATAAATCTTCTCACGTACTAACAACTGGTTTCAGACTTAACAACCGAATAAGTCGGAGTCATTTCGTTTCAAATCGCGTGTACCTAATCAGGACCGGTTTGTGCGATGCATTGTACTGTACCACTCGGTCTGACTATTCGCTGTGTTGTTGCACTGTTATTGCTGTTTTCAATCTGTTCCCTAGTCACTACTGATGGGGAAAAAGCTTCGCCCGTGAATCGATGTCCCTGTTGATCTGCGACAAAATCCGATCCGTTAGCTCAATACACACGCTATTCGAATTGTGCCGCACAACTCAGTCTGCTAGACTGCTTGAGCGCGACGGAACCGGTACATGCCATTGATTTTGTGTCAGATAGATCAAGGGTAGTGGCGGCCACATTTGCACGCCGCGCTCCATGCACATAGATCGAAAGACCCACGGTCTCCAGTGGCGATGTGATGCCTATTTCCAAGGGCTACATTAGGTGGGATCAGTGCAGCCCACGTGATGTTTCCGTCATACCCAAGTCCGATCGGTCAAGTTTTCTTCGCATTCTACAGTTTGAGATTCATTGCCCCTGTTTGTTTTGTTTTTTATTTTACTCTCTTCTTCATCAGTGGACCAAATTAGTCGCCATGCTATAGACTGAAACTACTCTCGGAGACAATCATTGTCCCTGTTGCACTATACCCATTCAACTCAAACAGACTTTCACAAGTTTATTTCGATTCTGCACATACTGATCCTCACAGACATTTTGGCGACCACTTTCACGATTTCATGACTCAAATTCCAGAGTTCCGGGGAAGGTCGAAGGATGGCAGCTGACTGACAGGTGCTGTGAGTACAAGACTGCGTACTGTAACAAAGAAATAGCAGCGTCGTTCTCATTATTCCGCTCCTCACTATTCATATCTAGTCGTTAACATACACCTTCCCGATTACTGGTTGGACTAATAATAATATTGGGCAATTGTCTAGTTCCGAATGGTTACTGTAATCCACACGGAGTGCATGAGTCGGTTTGGCACGGAGCGGATTGCGATTCGGTTTTGCTACTTGTTACTTGTCTGATCTCATGCGGTATGGCCAGCTGATGACCCTTAGTAGTTGAAGTGGGCACAGATCACGGACGCAACTGAATCGCACTATCACTTGCACGCTGGTATCTCCCGTCACCGAGATGCAAGAAAAAGGCCACAAGTAATACTTCGTTTATTAAAAGATAGCAATGTGATTAAATAACATGCACAAAGAAAGCTTATTGGTTATACAGGTATCCTCTAATGGACTGGTTCTATTCTTGACATCATACAGCTTCTATCCGAACCGCACGACTTCTGATTGGTCGGCTCGATTGGCCTATTGTTCGTTGTCTAAAAACTGTAACGCGTAGGCGCTTGCCTGGCGTTATTCGGGAGGATTGACTCATCACAGCGGTCCAGAAACTGTAACGCGTCGTTCCGTGGTTAGCGTTATCCCGTAGGCTAGGATCATAACAGATCCTTACAACAACGAAGCTGATCCGTTGTCTATTTGTGGATGACCTACTGCAATGTTGTTGCCGAAGATAAAAGTGGCGGTGGGTTGGGGGGATTCCCATGCATCTTAGGTTAGCCAGTACATGGTGCTCGGATTCCGCAAATGTATGTGTGTATTACTGGACAGTTGATGTGAAATTATTATTTGGAACCAAATTTGTTTAGATGCTATCCACATGACCAGCATGCTCGATCCATCGCGATCAGAATGTACTTGGAACAGGTTCTGTGCCTCGTTCGAAGCGTTTTCGCCCTCCTCCTAGGTGAACTGGCTGATCAGCCACCTGTTTGCAGCAGCCTAATCAGTTGGACTTGCTTCCTTGCACTCAATTGAACGCATCTTCTTTTCATTGGAAGATATTTCGATCCGTAATCCGAATAGGTGGATATCGGTGACTGGACATGAATAATGAGTACCTCCTTGTTGTGCATAGATCACACCCACCTGGGATGCATGGCATGATGCGAACGTAACACAATAAAACTGAAACCAGGCTGTGCGAATGGGAAATCAGGAGGATAATAGTTGACAGATAATAGGACAAATTTAAAGATCACACTCTGTGCGATCATGTTTCGAACATGTGTGTGTGCGGAGGGGGCCAAAACGAGGCGTTGTTCGTCCAGGGAGAAATATGGTTTCGGTAAGACCCTTCCGTGATAGAACCCTACCTGGTCCGACTCTTAACCAATAAGGAACAGGTCATTAGGGAATTTCGTCAGAACTTCTGAACAAACTTCAGTGATATTTTTCACATTGCGTGTTATATGAAATTGTATACTTTATTCCGTGTTAAAACCGGTGTATATTTCTAGCTGAAATGTGAGCTTACACAACCTATACAAATATAAACTCGTTTCACACTCCAAACTGTTTTCTGATGTGCAATTGCGTTTAGCTAATTTTGCCGGTTTCTATTATATCGCACAAATGGATCACCCGGCCGGAATCCAGAGATTGTACTGATCCTATAACGAGTTGGGTCAACAGTGTCTATTGGAAATAAAACTGGCCGTGAAAGAGTTTCGTAGGTTTACATTCTTGGGGAAACTAAGCTAGCTACGGGCTTGGATTACGGTGTCCACTCAGGACGGTTGGTGGGGTTGATTGATAGTGCTCGAAATCTATGGGAAGGATTAATTGGATCGAAGACGAGAGTCGGAAGTTTATTTGAATAAAAAAGTGGTAAAGATAAAGAAGTGACTGTCAGATATTGAACGAGTGACTACAAGTCACATGTTCCGCTCGAATCATTGCTGAGGTGTCTAAGGATGTTTATTTCACACAAGTCCAGGCTGTGTATTAAACAAATCAAGGTAAAATGATCATTATAAAATGAAAAAAGTTCCATGATATGCTCGATAGCGGAATACTGTCAGGTTGCGCAGACCAATGCAGGTGAATTTCCTTAGGGAATTCACAACCGGAGCCTTTAACTGGCCGAAGTCCGACCCGCAAGGCAGTGGAGCGGTGCGGTGTGTGAAAACCGCAATTCATTGAGAGCCGGTGTCCAGTTCATCGGATCACGCGCCATTCGGACGGGGTCAAATGTCCAAGGTGTCCAATACACCTCGATACCTAGTTGAGCCGGTGACCATCGTCACAAACAGAAAGGTGTGGGTGTTTGTGGTTGGTACTCATATTCTTGTTCGGTTTTGAATCAGGGTTTTCTAGCCAACTTCTCTGGGTGAACTGGTAGTTGCTTACCGACTCGGTTACAGCCGCGAATGTTGGTTCTTTGTCCTCTCGTTTTCATTCGAGAAAATCTCCGCATTGAGTAGGTCTTCTTCAGCAGAGGCTATCTGAGACGCTTGGTCGTGTGAAAGCATTTCGCGAATTGCAAGGGAGGAGTGACCAGCCGCAACCCTAGACACCCACCCCCGACCATACTGAGGATTTTGGAGGCATATGGTGAATTAGAAGAAACGGGAGAAAATTGAAGCTCCACATGGTTGCAGTTTGAGTGGATCGGAACCTCGATTTTAGTGCAAATAGAGTGTGGAAATGTTTTTGAAATTGTATCCTGCGGCGGGAAGCGGTGTCAGAAATCATGCAGACTGATTGCTTTCAGGGGTAACACAATGATGTCTATATATATGTTGTAGAATTCCGGCTCATATGCACAACATTGGCCAGTTCCATCTCTCGATCAAACAAATTCTTGAATGTTTCTAGACTGATCAGTTTAGCTAANTGTTTCTAGACTGATCAGTTTAGCTAAGAGTGCGCAGTTTTAATTTTACTGAATACCGATTGATTTCATCCCGAGAGGAATTTGACAAAAAGAATATTTTCGGTGTTAGATAAAGCCAGTGGAATACGGTACTGTGATATAAATCCCAGTTCAGTTTGATAGAGCATTAGAGGATGGATGGAGTGAGCTGAAATGTTGATCCACAGTCGTGTTACATAGTTGTGATGTTTGTCATTAGGTGTGTTATTTAATCGAGCCAGTGGCAGACACTCATCACAATGGGATTACTTGAAACTGGCGTTTCTGGGCGTAAACAAGGGCAAGAGGTTTGCAGTCAGATTTCGATCATCTTCATCGTGTATGTACGAGGGATGAGCGAAAAGCCTCCGGATGCATAAAACGTTTTATTTAAATGCTACACAAAATAAGCTGAGCTTCTCATGTAGGATCGTATGGATTGATCCCGATGGCCTTCGCCAGATGTGCCACT